TGTGCTATCAGGCTTTCATCTCTAAACTTTTGTTGTATTTGCCTTAAGTTTCTAATAAGCTCTGTTGTTGGTGGATAATTTTGTATGTATATCATTATGTTATTGTATTGTACTTGGAGCATTCGCAATTCATGGGATGTCCTGATGTGTGGTAGCGTTCGATATGTTGTGATTGGTATGTTGTTCTCTGTTGCCTTTTTGATGTTCCCGCACGATTGTTGTTGTTGGGGATTACTGGCCTCTTCGCCGTTAGGCTATTTCGGCCGAAGCTGATTGGTTGGACTTCTTTTTTTTCTTGTTTCTTCTTTTACTTTTCACTTCCCATTCTTCTTCTTGTTCTTCGTTCTTCTTTTTGGTCTTCTTCTTTCTGGTCTTCTGTTAGGATATTCTCATACACGTCAATAAGCGATGTTAAAGATAGTGTAATGTTATCGGGTTCCTTGATCTTGTTCTTGTCTTGGTTGTTCTTGTCTTGGTTGTTCTTGTCTTGGTTGTTCTTGTCTTGCTTTTTCTTTTCTTGATTTTTCACTACAAGGAGGGCCTCCTTGTAGCTCAGTTTCTCTTTAGCCCGCAGTTTGGCTACCCTGCACTCCTCCCTCCACTTGGGACACTCCCGGTCGGAGGAGGAGTGAGGGCCACCACAAGCTGCTCACTTCTTCGCGGCCGCCTGGCAGTCAGCGTCAATGTGGCCGGGTGTCCCGCAGCTTGAACACACCTCCCGAGCACGACACTTCCGCGCCAGATGGTCATACTTCTGGCAATTGTAGCAACGAGTAGGTTTTTTCTGGTATGGTTTTACTGGGATTTTCTCCCAACCCAGTAAAACGGAGCTGGGAAGTTCCTTTGGGAAGCCAACCAGGGCAGTTGTGCTGGTCAGCTTCCTAGCATAGCACATCGGATATCCGATCAGCTCAAAAATTTCTTCTTCATTGAGATGTTCGATTTCTGTGTGGGAGATGACTCCCATAACCACGTTGTCCAAATCGGACCATCCAAGTTTGATCTTGATTCCATTGATTTCTATAGTATAATTTAATTGCTTGGGCCCTCCCCACTCCGCGAAGGTGACTTTAAGGTAACCGCTGTCATGGCGGACGACCCTTGTCACCCCCGTGATTCCCGAGGAGTCAAAAAACTTCCTCAGGACAAGGAGGTTTAGTTCTTTGGTCGAAGGGCAATTGACTGGAATCAGTCTAACGACCTTCGCCTGGTCAAAGGTGAACATGGTCACGCGGTACCTCGGGAGCAGGGAACGGGGAGCAGGGAGAACCTACCTCGCCGAGGTTCAGTTCTCAAGTGACCAGGTTGTTGTTGTTGTTGTTGAGATTGTCGGACCGTAGTCCGACACGGGCCTTTGCCTATAGGCGGCCCGTTTGGTGGTTCCGGCTGGAGCTCTAGGAGCAGCCAGACCGGATTGGGATTGGAGGTGGTCCCACCTGCAGATTGGAGGGATACTGCAGGTTGCAAGTGTGAGCGGACCCCCGATCAGTGGACGCTTACCACCAGCCCCCACTCTTGGACGTGGTCAGCTTCGGAGTGGCGCGCCCCCCGAACTGGGGTCCGCACTTGCTGGGAGAGGATGCTTTCTAAGCTATCTGGGTGGTGGGTATCGTGTGATGACCCGGAGTAGGTGGTGAATGTGGTCTGTATGGGCCTTTCGGGTTAGAGTGGCCGCTGGTGTTGTGTGTGTTTCTTGGGAGATTTGAGTTCTGTTTCGGAGGCTTTGTGTGACCTCGCAATCGAGGAGATAGTGTTCAAGTGGGTTGGCTGCTGGCTCCTGACAGTAGGTGCATTCCATGACGTCATTTCCGATCATCTGCCAGGAGCACTTGTACCCTAGTCGTAGTCGATGAAGGCTGACTTGGGTTTGTCTTGGAGTTTTCTTGTCAGCGAAAGGTGGTTCCCCTTTTGTGGCCGCCAGGTACCATTTGGCTGATTGGGAACCAGCGTTGAGTGCATGAAGGAAGCTCTTTTTGATGTGGAGCTTAGTAGTCTTTCTGAGGTGATTCTTGATCTGTTGCACGCTTGCTGGAACTTGGATGTGTACGCTACTAGAACGTGTAGCTGCCTTGGCTGCTTCGTCTGCCACGTCGTTTCCCCCGATCCCTACATGACTGGGAATCCAGTGTAAGACGACTGGTCGGTTTTGGCTTTGGAATTCCTGTAGCTAGTGACCGATCGATCGATCGATGGATGAAGTAAAGTGTGAAGAAATCTTGATGCAGATGCGTAGATTGGTGGTGCGGGAACTGGACTTGAAGAATAATGGTGGAATTTGGAGGGACTTGGGGTTGGTGGATAGTGCAGAAGAAAAGCGAGGAAATTGGAAAATAGTTGTAGAATGCTAGGTCTTGGGGCTCAACCCAAGTGCTTCTGTTATCTCATGTTTGTGATTCAGCTAAATTTCGTCTTAGGTGTTATATTTATCTCAGGTGTTTGTATGTTTAGCAACTATTGCAATTTTGCCTATCATTTTCGTGTGTTATGTCCTAGCCAATGGTGAGGAGTCTGGGGCAGGTACTTGTGTTTCTGCCAGAACATCCTATCTTTTTATGATCTAATGTTGTGTGTGGGTTGGCTGCCAAGGATGTCACTGGGGTAACCTTGTATCTTTTAATAGAGTGGAGTTGGTGTGGGTTCTAGGGCTCTTCTTTTACTGCGAGGGAACCACGAGTGTTCTCTTCTTCCGTCTTCTGTCTCTTCCATCCATTCTTTGATTGGTCCTGGTTCTATTTCTTCTAACTTTGTCCATATTCTTTTTGAGTGTTCGTGTAGGTAAACGTTTAGGGGTTCTATTTGGGCTCGTTGGTGTAGTTGACGGTTGGTGACTATGTCAGGATATCTGATGTTATATACATCTCTTAGGGCTAAGTTTTGAATTATCTGCAGTTTCTTTATGTTTGTTTGTTTTATTGCATGTAGGGGAGTTGGCGGATATACTAGTCGGGATTGGACATAGGCTCTATATAACTTTAATTTGTTTTTTGCTGACAGGCTTCTGAAACGTTTTAATTTAGTTACCATGTTTCTGGTTTTTACAAGTTTTTCGGTGATGAATGTTTTGTAGCCTTTTGTTGTTATCTCCAGCCCTAGGACAGTGCCTTCCATGGCATATGGAATCACTTTGTTGTTTACTATAATGGGGTCTTTTTTCCTTTTAGCGATTGGGATTATTTTAAACTTGTTGGTGTTCGTTTGTATCTTCCACTTTTTTCGTACTGGTTGATGTTCTCTATTGCCTTGGCAGTATGTTGTGCCATTATTGCTGTTGATTTGCCAGGGTATGTGATGATTTGTGTGATATCGTCTGCAAAACTTATGTATTCGCTGTAGGGAGATGGTTCTGGTAGGTCTGCTGTGTAGATATTATACATCGTGGGTGAAAGAACACTGCCTTGGGGTACTCCACTTTTCAGTTTTATGGGTGGTCCTATAAAGCTGCCAATTTGTATTTGTGCCGTGCGATCGTCTAGGAAGTCACAGGCAATTTTTTCTATTGGTTCTGGGAGATTTAATTGAAGTAGTTTAAATTTTAATCCTAGGTGCCATACTTTATCGAACGCTGTCTTAACGTCTCTTAATACAATGTTGACTTGGTTTCTTTCTGCTTTCTTGTTGGCTAACGTTTCCGTGATTATGACTAGTGCAGTATGTGTTCCCTTTTTTTCAGTGAATCCATGCTGTCTGGGGTTTAGTAGTCCGTTTTCACTTCTGTGTTTTCTGATTCTCTTGTTTATTGCCTTTTCAAATAGTTTTCCTATAACTTCGAGTAGGGAAATCGGTCTGTAGTTAATTACTTGGGTGTGGTCATTGGCTGGTTTCGGTATGAATATGAGTTTTGCGTTTTTAAATGCATCAATGAAGTATCCACTTGCCAAAGCTGAGTTAAATATTTCAAGGATACCTTGTGTGCAGTTATTTGGTAGGTATAAGATCATATTTCTTGTGATTTTTGTAAATCCTGGTGCTTTTTCTTTAGTATGCCTGATGTAGTGTAGCAGTTCACCTTCTGTAATTGGTTCTGTCAGGTTGAGCCTGGTTTTGTCCACCACATGGTATGGGGTTATCCTGTGTATCATTTCAGCCATTTCTCTACAAATGTGATTTTCGTGTTCCTCATCAAATTCCTCATTTTCTTCTTCTGATATTTGAAATACTTTTTTCCATTCTCTCCTGTATACGGATTCTATCTCTTTTTCTTCAAAGAGTTTTTTCCCGTTTTGGTCCTTTATGTACTTTTGTTGGGGTTTGTCGTTTCCTAGCATTTTGTTTACGTTTTGCCAGAAGTTCTTGTCATTTCTTGTGGTATCCAGGTTGTTTATTAGTTCGTTCCATATTTGTTGGTGTGCTATCAGGCTTTCATCTCTTAACTTTTGTTGTATTTGCCTTAAGTTTCTAATAAGCTCTGTTGTTGGTGGATAATTTTGTATGTATATCATTATGTTATTGTATTGTACTTGGAGCATTCGCAATTCATGGGATATCCTGATGTGTGGTAGCGTTCGATATGTTGTGATTGGTATGTTGTTCTCTATTGCCTTTTTGATGTTACGTATAAGGGTATCTGTTTCGTTGTCAATATCTTCTAGTGTTTTGCCTTGGAGATCTGGGATCTTAACTTGTTCTAGTTGCTTCCTGTAGCCTTCCCAGTCTGCTTTTTGCATTTGGAAACGTGGGGTAGTTGGTACTTGGATTGGGCCTGTGGATAGTTTTATTATCATTGGAATGTGGTCGCTGGTAGTTAGTGGTCCTTGTTTTATATGGTAATTCAGGAATGCCTTGTTATTGGTGAAGACTTTGTCTGGGGTTGTTGTTTTGTTATTGCCAATAAATGTGGTGAAGTGTGGTCCTAGGTGGATCAGCTTCCCTGTGTTCATTATGGTATGTAGTGCAGTGCCCCCTCTGTTGATAACTTGATGCGAAAAAAAAATTGTGATGGTGCATGTAATCTTCTAACTTTATTTATATGAAGTACGTAAGAGATGTGAAATCTCATGCGTCGCCATGTCTCTCCGGTAACACTAACAGCCATTGTCAGTCGACCACCACTCGCCGTCCTGCCAGCACCCAACAAGTATGTATTCAAAATTTTGAAAATAGTTACTGCTGAAAAACGTGAATGTAAAATAACGGTTCAGAGTAAACCTTGCTACACACGGTCTGACCTTTTTTTTCAGATTTGTTTGCACAGACTTGAATTGTGCAGACAAAACGGATCGTGGAGGGTAGGTCAAACCAGTTGCTCAGTTTCAGCCGTAGCAGTAACGTCATCATCATTTGACGATGATTGATTTTTATAATTATTCCAACTAACACATGACGGGTTTAATTGAGATACAACACAGTGTGAACCACAGCTTAAAAAATTAAGGAAGGCCACCAGACTGGTGCTTGCACTAAAGCACCTTAGGTACCCAGAGAGATAAGAAGGGCTGCAATGATTTGCTTAGGTTTACTAGCAAGGGGTGACCTAATTGAAGTTTATAAACACGTCAGAGAACAATATTCAGCCGGAAGCCCACCCTACTAAGGACCACTTAAGGTTGAAGAAGACACAGATTCAGAAATTTTTTAGGGAAAACTTTTTTGGAGTGAGAGATGTGAATTCTTAGAACAATCTGCCGGAGAGTCTTGTGATGGCACCGGGTGTGAGCTCATTCAAGACCAGACTAGACCGTCAAAGCTTTAGACAGCGTACCCCATGAAAGGCTGAGAATTAAACTGGAAGTGTCCTAGCGTGGATCGGAGACTTTCTGGTCATGACCGCGAACAGTGTGTATATGATGATAAATGGTACGAAATTGTCATGTGAACCTGTTACGAGCGGGGTACCACTGGGCAATGTATTGGGCCCGTTGTTTATCTGTTTCATTACTGACATGCCAGAAGCTTTACACTCCTCCATACAAATATTTGTGGACGATGCCAAGTTATTTAGGCAAATTAAGAACCAAACAGACTGTGGAGAGCTGCAAAAAGATCTCTATGAGCTTCAAGAATGGTTGACGAAATGGCTGCTACGATTCAATATCACCAAGTGCAAAAGGATGCACCTGGGTCGCACCAATACTAAGGAGGCGTATCACATGTCCCAAAAGGACGAAGAGACTGCGTTAATTGAGACCGAATGTGAAAAGGACCTGGGTGTGTATTGTAGTATCTTGCGTTATTTAATGGGAGAATGAAGAGTCACATGGTCTGTCTGGCTGGGCGTTTATTCTCTGTTCTTGGTTACAGCGTGCCTAACACATTTCGTGTTTACACAAGCCTAAACACTTTCTGACTTTGGTAAGAAGTAACATAATATATAATATATATATTCAATAAAGGCAGCATATAAACATACATATATATAACATGTATGTTTGACAATGAACTTAAGTTCTCGGGCCATTGTGTGAAAAAGTTGAATCAGGCAACGAAACTAGATTATTCATGGGGATTTACGTGCGTGCAGGTCGGGTCGTGTTGCGTCTCTGTAACAAAGCGTGTTCGGCATTCGGGCCTTCGTTGTTGAGCGGCAGAAATTGGACAGTGTTTACATAAGATCATCAAGATCGTCTTAGTGATGTGAAAGTGTAAATCGATGTAAGATTTTTAATGCTAGACGCGATTGTATTTTTGAAAACTCAATCTCCACCGAGTTGGAGGTACAGCCCAGGTCAAGAGGCCTACAACCACAAAATCATTGCCATGTGACAAAGCTTGTTTTTTTTCCGGAGTTGTGGTCACGGCTGTGATAGAGGCCAACCAGGGAGTGTAGTACTGTGACTTTAGTTAAATCAGTTCATAGTGTCATCAGTAACCGCGGAAGATGTGTAAATAACTTAAAGTGAATACAAATTGGCAAGCAAGCTGGTAAGGCACCACTGCCAGCAAAACCAAGTCGTGTTATAGGTGCCACAGTGACTTTAAATTTTATTTTGTTTGTGTGCTTTCTCATGGACTGAAACTGTGCCTATAATACACCACTCACAGGGAGGTACAGTGTACACAGTGATAGCACAAAGAGATATAGTCGTTGATGAGAACGGGAAAAGAAAGTATAAGAAAATAATAGTTAGAAAAATAAAAATATAATAAAATTAACAAGCTGGTTATCCTAAAGGTATTCTATTACCGCCCCAAAGAAATTTTTATTTTATTTTTCTGTGTTTCTAAAGGACTGAGTGGGTGTAAAAAATCCGTTATTCATAGCAAAATGCAGTGTGCATAGAGATAGCACGTAAATACCGACAAATCGCCGAAGTGAACTGAAAAAAAAGCGAAAAAAACAGACAGCCCGAAAGACAACAGGGGAAAATTAAAACCAGCACAGGGCAGCTAAGTGCTGTTTTTCTTTTTTCTTTATTTTTAAATAGGTGTAGATCTGTACACAGTCTGCACCCCCCCCCCCACAACAACCATGAGTATGACATGTGATTACTGCGAGGGGTGACGGTTATGGATGATACAGGCCTGACCCTTGCAACGTTTAGGAAGATGCAAGCTGCCGTAAAGCATGAAGGCTGTTGCTGGTATTGCTCTGACTGCATAGCCAAGGTGAAAGAAGCGATTGCAAGCTATAGGGGAACGAGTTCCCTAGGAACGAAAATAGATGAAGCTGGAGCCTTGCTGGTTGCCAAACTAGAACAAGTTGGGAAAGTCATCCTTGCTAAGACTGAGGAAGTAGCCGATATAATGGAGGTGGTTGCTAAGAGGAGTTATGCTGAAGCTTTAGCAGGGCCACGGGAGGTGGCGGAGAGTAATGCAGGATCAGAACAGGCGGAGGGAACTGAGAGTAAGATAACACACAATAAGATGCAATTTAAGAATATTTGTACAGAGGTTCTGAAGATCAACCCCTCAGGATGTGAGGAGGCTGGGACAAAAGCAGGGGGATAAGCCTCGCCCCCTCAAGATCACACTTGTGAGTGAGGAGGAGAAATGGGAGGTTATTATGCAGGCACAAGACTTAGCAAGGAGCGAGGCATTTCGGAGTGTATTCATTCACCCAGATCGCACGGTAATGCAGAGGTAACAGCACAAGAAGCTCCTGCAGGACTTGAAGCAGAGAAGGGAAGAGTCGAGGAGGAACGGGGACGGGTGTACATGGGTTATATTCAGGGAGAGGGTAGTGGAAGCAAGCGTGCCTACACAGGGCCAGGAGCACGAGCGCATCCTCCACCCACTCTACATCCCACCCGGGAGGTGGCACCACTAGAAAGGGTAAATAATTACGAAAAACAATGGAAAATCCAAACTAGTCTCCCGAAATTCACAGTGATACCTTTATGCAGAAGGAAAACCCATCCATTAGTAACCAATAATGCCAAGATAGAATACAAAAGCAGAGGCACCCTCCTGGACCTGCATATATCCACGATAGGTTACTCCCATTATGCTCACACCAGGAAGGAAAAGGCAACAAGAGAGCTGAGAAAACTATACCGCTTTAAAGTGCTTCCTGAGAAAATAAAACTCCGCCGGGTGACATCATTTGTCACACCGATATTAACTTACCCAGCAGTACCTCTTCACTCTATGAGCACCATTCAAATATTAAACTTACAGGTGGTCCAAAATGAAGCCCTAAGAATCGTCACAGGTGAAAGATACCCCTTCACCAGAACCACAACCGAGATACATAGAGACCTACAGTACTTGCCAACAATGAGTAACAGTGACGTTACCGACCGCCCTAGTGAGAGTAAATAAAAGGAAACATATTTCATTTAAAAGTCTTCCGACTTTAATTTGCCACCTCCTGTATTTATTATGTATCTGGGAGTGAGTCAGCCGAGTGAATACAACGCTCGCCTCCTGTTCCTTAGGTCCTACGATATATTACTAGTACTGAGAACTGATAAATAAAAGAACACATAGGGGTTTTATCTAAACAGTTAGATAAATGTTATCATATCCTGAATAAGTCTCAGTCTTTTTTCTCAATCTAAGGTGTAATTAGTGATAAGAGGTGGTGATATATTTCTCCGTCCAATCGAAGATAGTGATACCAATAATTAGCCTCCAGTTATAATTCTACTAATAAATTTACAAGATATAATTGGAATCTGCAAAAGCCATTGTTCAGACCACTTTCTCTTTAACTTAAATTTTTTTTCAACGCATATGCCAGAGCACAAATATATAACAGCCCTTCCTCTGCAGTCAACATTATGCTCTTCTGAAATCAGAAAGCGGACTAAGCTGTTTACCTTATTTACCTAATGGCCACCCATTTGAGGTGGCCATGTCGAAGGAAGGGGCCAGTGGCCTGTGTAGGATCTCTCCATTGCTCTTGATAATTTTGTCTTGGGCTATTTTGAAGTCCAGTACTGTTCTCGAATCCACAGCTTGGGCTGGTAGACTGTTCTATAGGTCTACCAGCCTCTGTGTGAAGAAGTATTTCCTTATGCTCGTTCTGCATGATAACTTGGCGAGCTTGAAGTTGTGGCCTCTTGTGATTGGTGCGCTACACAAATGTTCCAGGCTTGAGCGTTTAGTGGCCAGCTCGTTGCATATAACTAAAGATTTTTCATACAAATTAATAATAATTAAAATGACTTTTAATTCAGGTTTAATTAACCGAGAAAAGATGGAAAAGAAGACTGCGGGAGGTGAAGGATGGCGGGTCTGGATGAAGAGGAACATGTCGTATCAGCCAGAGTTGATGCCCATCAAGATCATCCTTTTCTTTTTCTTTGCTGGTGAGTGATTGTCTTAAGGTTTTGGGATTATTTATAACACCGTGAATGATTTTCGGACATTCCTGCTGAATCAGCAACACTTAAGTAGATGGTACAGCGGTAATGCGTGTAACTCTCACCAGTATGTCAAGGGTTCGAGCGTCGGCCCGGACACACGTGAAAAGGGTGTCTAGTGTAACCCTACCAAACATCACGGGTTTCCCGGTCCCCGCGGTTTCCTCCTGTTCTAACACTGGATAGACCACCCGAACGGCTAGTACGCTGATAAGTGGGGAAAATTATTTAATGACCTTAGTTGTAGAAGCTTAAGAAAGGGTTGGCATCCATTCCAAACAGAAACCTGGAATGTGAGGACTTTATAATATATGGGAGGGAAGTATACAAATGTCTGCTGGCAGACGAAAAGTTTGCAATTTACAACTTATTCATTTTCCTATATTTAGTGAAGTCAAATGGACTAAGTGGATCTACATAATACATAGAACAAAATCCTATTTGAGATAGAACAAATTAAAGAAAGGTTAGGTTAGTTTAAGATAAGGTGTGGTTAGTTTAAGATTAGATTAGGTTAGGTTAGTTTAAGATTAGGTGTGGTTAGTTTAGGATTAGGTGTGGTTAGGTTAGGTTAGATAGATATGAAATGAAATACTGTATAGTTCAAACTCCCAATATTGGTAACAAGTTGGTGTTCAGTATTTGTGAACAAAATAACAAATTATAAGGCTGTGGAGTTGATCAATTTTCAGCAGAGTATAAAACAATTGAACAGGAATGGGATTACGTGTTGGGCTAAGATGTTTAACTCAATACTACAGAGGAGATCCAGTAATTTCATAATGGAAAATTCATTTTAATTACCTAGAACACAAGAACCTTATTGTATACCCAGTCTGTGACAAAAAATTTAATAAACCATGAATGCAAATTTTATCTAACAAAATCATAAAAAAAGGAAAAAAGCAACCTGAATATAAAAATGGAATTACAATAAGTCCTCGTTTAGCGTCATCCCTCTTAACATTGTTTCAGTACTACGTCGCTGAACTTTAGATACCAAAAATTCGTTTAACGTCCCGGTAATCTGATACTACGTCGTTTTGCGTTGTCACGGACTACATTCTACGGCGCATCACCCGCTCTTGTCTGGCCGTGCTACGCTCTTTCAGCTTGGCGCGCTGCCCTCACTCGCGGAATGTCACAGCATCCCCAAGTGACACCAAGTCAGTCTCTGTTACGACTTCACATCATTCGTGTGTACTTAGGTGCTTTTGCTCTAAAACTGTACTCTAACCATTCGAAATGGCTTCCAAGTGCCCATCAAGTGCTACTGATGCTAGTGTAGTGAAGAGGTAACGTAAGACCATTACCCTTCCTACGAAAATGGATGTATTAACCCGATTTGAAAAAGGGGAACATGCTGTGGACATAGCCGCTATGCTTGGTCTAACTCCCACAACAGTGCGTCCTATCTGGACCAATGCTAACAAGATTAAGGCTAGTGCTGGAAGTGGTTCTTCTCTGAGTGTTACTAAGACGACTGTACTAGAATCACTGTGGTAGAGAAGGTGGAAAAGATGCTGGCAATGTGGATGGAGGACCAGAATCAACATAATGCTCCTATTAGCCTTGTGGTTATCCAGCATAAGGCTAGATCCATGTTTGACAACTTAAAGGAAGAAGAGGGTGAAGGATCGAAGCGTCGGTATAACTTCCACAACATAAAGATGACTGGTGAAGCTGCCAGTTCAGATATGGTTGCTGCCGAGACATTCCCGCCTACAACGGAGGAGGAGGCAGCTGCAGTCTCAGTGACTCACCACCCTCCTACTTCACTCCTGTCATCTTCCTCCTTCGCTCTACTACCCACCACACACTCGCTCTACCACCTCCGCCAATCAGTGAATACCAATACAAACTTAGTACTGTAGTTCTATATACTATTTTCTATAGAAATGGCAATGATTTTCTGTATATGTAACTTTTTTCATGGGGCAAAGGGAGGCTGGGGAACGTAACTCCTGTATTTTATCTATTTCTTATGGGGAAAAATTATCTGCTTAACATTGTTTCGCATAACGTCGCGTTTTCAGGAAAGTAACCCCAACGTTAAGCGAGGATGCCCTGTACAGTAATAATAATAATAATAATAATAATAATAATAATAATAATAATAATTCAGAAATATCATGATACAAGACTACAATTGGTCTGGCATATACAGTATATAGACATGCAGGTATACTCCTACAGCTCAGCACAAGGAGTAAAACCTCATAACTTTAGTTCCACCCCATTCAATGACGTCACGCTAGTGACGCACATCATCTGGTGACCAAATGATGATGGCCTTGCCTTGGTTGACGTTTGATTGTTTCCTTTTCTTAGAATACTCGTAAGGCTAAGGCTTTTAGGTGGCCAGGTATAACCACATGAATGCCTTATGTTCTCATAGTCCTCCAAAAATTAAGTGATATAGCAAAAAAATATATGATAGCAAAATATTACAAGGAAACACCGGGGGTATTACTCCGATGACATGGACGAAGCAACTAATTTTGTAGTTTATTAGCATTACAAATATTTTCTCAATGCTAGACATGGCAAGGTGAATGTCTGGGGGTACTCTCGACTGGACAACTGGACATTGCCTTACAATGTATACTTAAGAAAATAGAGCAAGTTTCTCTAGGCGTGAAGTATCACGAACCGTGATACTTCACGGTGACACTTCACTTCAACAGACATTCCAAAATTAAAGAGATAGAAAAGTAATATGAACTCTCTTCAAACAAGTTCTCGGCTACACTAATGTGGTGTTTATTTTATCAGAGCATTGATGTAGTCATTTATCGATTTATCACAAGTTTTCTTATATCTTGGAAATCTGCAAGACTTATGTGCTCTCTGTTTGGGATTTGAGCATTGCTGGTGCACCCGTATATTGCACAAATAACCATAATTGTTGATACATTGATCCCGAGAGCATATGCGGCCACACAAGGAGGTCACCAGATGTTGCGTGTTTACAACACTGACGTCACCGAGCTGTGCATTGTGGATAAAAGTTAGTAACTTTAACCCAACAAGCACTTGTTTTACCGTAAAACAAGTGCTTAGTACTGTATTATATTTTATCCTTGGTTAAGCATGCATATAGAGAATGCAGGTATAGTTTGTACATGGATAGTGCAGGTATACAGGTACACTATGCAGCCATAGTAAACAGTTACAATATGGCAATTCGATCAAGGATAGTAGACAAAGCCATCAGATGCTTATGATGCTTAAGAGAATTTAAAGTGAAGGGGCTTTAGAGAGTCAGATAATTTATAGAAACATACCTGTATATCTAATCAACTATTCCTTCCGCTGGTCAGACAGCCAACTTATCCCATATGGCCTTCCAGCAGGTAGACTAGATCTAATACTTGTTCCTCCCTCAGGTCAAGCTGCCTACCTACCGTTTCTGACCCTCCACATGCAGACCCTGGGAATCACATTCAAGGAGATCGCAACTATTTACTCCTTCCTACCCATCTCATCTCTCCTTGGACCTCCAACCTCAGGTATTCTCCCTCTCACACATGCACACGCACACGCATATTCACAGGCATGAATACTGACAGACACGCGTGACATTAACACATACGTCACTCACGTGCATATACTGCACAAGCACACGCACACAAGCATTGTAAACACACGCACACACATTACTATACACAATATTTGTATTGTTTTAATTCTTTCTCTCGTAGAATCACAAGAATGGTAGCCAAGACAAGAGAAGCTATATTATTGTGTTTACACCTATACCCTTTCAGGCGAGATATAACTTTACCTGAGACGACCTGCCACTTGGAGATGCTCTCAGATGTTCTCAACGCACGCAGAAATTCAAAGGCTGTCATACCGTAACACAATATTTGAACGACTCAATCCTTATTTAAGACATCATTATAAAGATTTTCTCATTTTCCCCTGCACAGCATCACAGACACCATATCTTCCCTAACACAGCAATAGAAACTGTCAGTCTCAGAAAGTCCTTGCGACCTTACCATAGCAATGCAAATAATGTCAATAAACAGAACCTCCTCAACACAGCACACAAAACATTAACGGTGTTTCAAACATCTTCAAACACAACACACAAACAGCAGCAGTGCTTAAATCATCCTTCAACACATATTAACACGTCTTCAGGTACGCCCTCGGCAGAGCATACATCTCCCTCTCTCTCTATCGCAGGTCTCATGGCTGATACCTTCGGAACATACAAGCTGGTGATGGTGGCGAACATGATACTCAGTGTGTTACTTCATGTCGCTCTCCTGTACATACCTTCCCGTCCCCTCGCGCCATCCCTCACATTCACCTGTGATCCTGAAGGTTACCACCTAATCTGGCAGAGTTGTGACCTTTGTCACGAACACCGCAACCACACCCAAGTGCAGCTGACACTCGAGGTTAGTGCTGGTACACCTCCCTCCAGTTGACATTCAAAATTATTGTTAATACAACCACCCACAGCTGACACTTATGATGAGTTTCGGTACAGTAAACTCCACTTACATGCAACTTTAAACATCCTGTACGATGTCGGACGACAGACATTCTCCCCTCCAAACTCCCTTGATTCCCAGAACAATGTTTAGTTTGATAGTATCCAATATTTTTGTATTTTAGCAACACATCGTTATAAATTATTCAATGTTTATATATCTTAACAACACTTGATTATACAATGTTTTCGTTCTTTCGTATCTTAGCAATAATTTGGAATTTTACGGTATACTTTCCTTTATCCCCTTCGCCACTGATCGGCTCGTTAGCTGCTTGGGCGGTCGGTTACATCTCTGTTACACACTGTTGGCAAGTACTGGGCATGTACCGACTCCTGAATGCATCCGTACCTGTTCCAATGTTGGTCAAATCTGGTCTTGTATGAGCTCACACTCGGTGCCGTCACAACACTCTCTGGCAGATTGTTCCAAGAGTTCACAACTGTCACTACGAAAACGTTTGCCCTGATATTTTTTTAACTTATGACTTCTTCAGCCTCAAGCTGTGACCTCGAGTGGGACGGGCATCCGCCAGCTCTAGCTATGGACACTTAACTGAGTAATGTCGTCTAGGGTGTCAATAGACTGCTATTACATCACCCCTTGCCCACCTGTAGTACAGTATAAGCTAGTCAATTGCATAAACCTTACAAAAAGTAGGTTGTTAGTTAAATTGGTTTGCTGAAATCCATTTCCAGAAATTGAAAGTGATGACCTAGCCTAAACTATCATAACCCAAGATGTTAGATGAAAATTCAAAATTTAAACCAATTCTAGCATGATACAGTATTAACTTTCCTGTGTCACGTTAGGTTAAAATGTTAAAGCTCTGGAAATAGATATCTTTGAATCTTGATAATTACAACAAATTTTACAATGTACACTACAGGCTTTTCCTCGGCAAGATTTGTGACTCAGGACTTCACAATTGGGGATCCTATTATTGTATAACCTAACCTGACAAATTTAATGTAATGTATCCTAACCACATATGCAAATGGCTGAATTCCATAATCTAAGTCATCAGCCTCAACCAATCAAACCGAATGTCGGAAAAATAGCAGAAGTACGAAAAGGTCCATCCATGACCAAACAAATAAATCCTTAAAACACTGCCTGGTGTTCGAAAACAAGTGCTTTACCTGCACAAGCTTCTGAAAGTATTACCTTCATTTAGTACTCTATTGTTTGAGATAAAACTAACTTGAGGGTTTGATTCATCCATAGTGAAGACCTTCAGATATCATAAAATGCAACAAAAGCGGGTTCTTAATTTTCATTTGATTTTGCTACTTTGTCTTTTATGTCAAGTTGGAGTACTGCACTGGACACGTAAATTAGTAAAAACAACTATCTGTGCATACTTTGTGCGAAACAATATGAGACCATGGACGAAAATTTTTGGTATATAAGGGCTGTCACTAGTCACACGTAAAATTTCGGAGCATATCGACCCCTACCTGCACAGATACAGGTAGTTGTTTTAACTACTTACTTCCCACACTTTAACCCCTCAATTATGAACTTCTTTTTCATTAAAATTCTTGTAAATTTACCAGTAAATCAGATGAGCTCTTATGAACTATTACCGCAAAATAAGAGGCAAAGAACAGTGAGGTATTCATTACTGATAAGGTACTAATATAACGCTATCAGAGGAGGAACAAGAAACAAACTCAAAACAGTTGATTACCTATCTCACAAAACGTGTGTGGATATTCAAATATAGGTTATTTAATAAACACAAACTTTCATGTTGTAGACCTTATAAGTACTAACTAAGTAACTAATTATACTGAGCGCATCACAAATTAATAGACCTACTGATAAGGGACGGGGAGCGTCGGGATGGGTTTGAGCGCAGGAACAATATACTGTACTTACTGTAATACACCTTTTCACATATCCGTTGAGACATTGTTACATAACTATTTAACAAATTTCATAACCGAATGATAGAACACATATCGAATGACAATCTAAAATAACTGTTGGTGGTCTGTCATTCTCCAATTGTTACATTCTCAAACTATATGTAGACTGTCGGTTTATTGTTCACGTCTGTCAACTTCATAACTTATGTCAATCACTTCCGTTAGCATGAACGAACAGTTATTTTAGATTGTCATTCGATATGTGTTCTCTCATTCGGTTATGAGGATCATATGAAGTTCTTCCCCCCCAAACCTACTTGGGGGGGAGGATCTTCATATGATATAGCCTCGGGGGGAGGATCTTCATATGATCAAGCCTAACCTAACCTAACCTAACCTGAATAATGTTTTATTATTTAATCCTTATGTTGTTTATTTATATTATATGTTGGGGAGGATCTTCATAAGAGCGCGACTGGGGGGGGGGGTGGATCTTCATATGAGCGCGACTGGGGGGGTGGATCTTCATATGAGCGCGATTGGGGGGGTGGATCTTCAGTTGGATACTTTGGGGGGGAAGATCTTCATATGATCCAATAAATGTAGTAAGCGGGAAGTGAAAAAGAATCTAACAGGAAATAATTTATGGAAAAGAAGGGTCAAGGAATAGTATAGGAAAGAAAACAAGGAAAGTATAATATTTTAGGGAAGAAAGAGGGTGTATAAACAAGTGTACCTTGTAAGGTCTTGGAGACAGTTCGTAAGAAAATAATAAATGATATTCTGTGCTTGCCGATGTGCACATCAGCACAGAAATACAAAAATTAAGCACAATGGATTTTGAGAAGTATACTTTTACTTTTACTTTTATCCTCTTCGCCACTCATCGGCTTGTTAGCCGCTTGGGCGATCGGTCACGTCTCTTTTCATTTATCTTCTTCACCAAAAGATCGGCTCGCTAGCCGCCCGGGCGATCGGTCACGTCTCTGTCACGCACTGTTGGCAAATACTGGGCATGCACCGGCTCCTGAATGTACCTGAACCCGCTCCAGTGTTGGTCAAGTCTTGTCTTGAAAGAGCTCACACTCGGTGCCGTCACAACACTCTCTGGTAGATTGTTCCAAGAGTTTACAACCCTCACTCCGAAAAAGTTTGCCCTCACGGTTTTCTGGACTTGCGGCTTCTTCAATCTTGAGCTGTGACCCCTTGTGGGGCGAGCGTCCGCCAGCTCCAAGTAAGGACACTCAACTGAGTAGTGCCCCCTGAGATGCTTATACACCTCAACTAGGTCCCCCCTTGCCCGTCTGTAGTATAAGCTAGGAAAGTTCAGGCGCTCCAATCTCTCAGGGTAGCTGAGGTGCCGAAGTGCAGGCACCAGTTTGGTGGCCCTCCTTTGAACATTTTCAACCAACTGACAGTCCCTAGCATATCTCGGGGACCAGATGGGGTGACAGTACTCCAGATGGGGAAGCACTTCACTCCTGAAGATCGTTACGAGGGACGGGCCGTCTAGATATCTGAACGACCTTCTTATAAGACCCAATAATTTATTTGCCTGATTTACCTTCTTCTCACAATGGCCCGAGAACTTCAGCTCATTGTCAACATACACACCTAGGTCCTTCTCACACACAGTCTCAACTAGTGCAGTTTCTTCATCCCGTTGGGACATATGATACGCCTCCTTACCGTTGGTACGCCCCAGGTGCATCCTCTTACACTTCGTGACATTGAATCTCAGCAGCCATTTCTTCGACCATTCCTGGAGCCCACAGAGGTCCTTCTGCAGCTCTTCACAGTCCGCTTGGTTCCTAATTTCCCGAAATAACTTGGCGTCATCGGCAAACATTTGTATGGAGGAGTGTAAACCTCGTTGGGCGAGTATGGAAGTATTCTAAACATTATATGTCTCTGTTGGCCTATTCAAGTGTGAGTCTACCGTACACACTAAGTGATATAAACGTTAACACACACACACACACACACACACACACACACATACATACACATAAATGACCTTGTAGGATGTTAGGTCATGTCTCTGGAATGATGTGAATTAATAGTGCGCTAAGGTTGTGATATGTCACAGAGCTGTTTAGAATAAGTGTGAGGATAAGACAAACTTGGTTCCAGAAAGGTAGTTACAAAATTAGTTATTAACGGTGAATGACCTGGATTGTAAAGATGACGAAAAAGTAATAAACGAAAAAACCGCTCATTCATAACTTTTACCTACTTTTATCCTCTTCACCACTGATCGGCTCGTTAGCCGCTTGGCAAGTACTGGGCATGCGCCTGCTGCCGAATGGACAGTCTCGTTCAAGATTCTTCGAACACTGCTGGAGACAGCTGGCAACTCAAGGCCGTTTATTTACTATAGTACGTAGTAAATATTATGAATGAATGTAAAACTGATCGGTGATTAGTTACTTAGTTCCCCGTTAATTAATGGTTGGGCTTTGTTGTTTCGTATTATATTATACCTTTCTGCTGGTATATACTGTTAATTTGATTTTAAAATGGATAGAGCAATGGGCCAACCTATATGAATTCATGTTTAGACAATTAAACATAAGAAAAAATCGGTAAGTGTATTATAGAACATCATACATCGGGCACAGCTGTGTGCAGGCTGTTTATGAGGTTGCCTGTTTATCATTAATTTATACTAATGTTATTTTCAAACGTTTAATCCATTTCGGGTAATTAATCCAGTCGTATGTAACTCATGCTAAACAAACGTCTTTCTAAAGACGCTGAGTTCATGCAACACAAACTGCTGTTTTAATTCGCTGTGGGAATAAGCAGAATCATCGGTTCACTGCTACCTGTAGTGTGTGTGTGTGTGTGTGTGTGTGTGTGCCTTAGCCTGTGTGTCAATGCTTGTCTGTAAAAACAGTTATATAAATGAAACAGTATTATGGAGTTTATTAATGACATTATTTATTTTACATTCCCTGTGAGGCATTGGAAATAGAAATTTATATATAATGTTTTATTTATTCATATATTTATTTATGTTTCAATTAT